GAGGAGTGGCTGGTGGGTTTGAACCACCAGCCCTCTGGTTAGCAAATACCTTAGGCATTACACCACCAGATCTTTTATATATATATATATATATATATATATAGTAGTTGTATTCCATCAACTCAGGAAGAATAGAGGTCATAAGCTTTCAAGTAAACTTTAATTCCCAAGACTCCAAAGTCTTTTCATTCCCAACATTCTTTCTAGACATTCACAGATAAACATTCCCTACAATTCATGACAGGAGATAAATTATTCTCATATTATTGATTATTGGCATTGTCTTTACATAACAGTAACCTTATATTTATTTCTTCCAATGTCATTCTTGGACCTGTGAGTAAGGGTATGTCTGCTCATCCTGGGCATATTTTCATTACCTCATCTAGTCATTCCATGAAATTATTACCTCGAAATCAACCACTTTAAATGGGGATCACTTTATACCAACCAGCATTATTACCTCAAAACATTCCCTCTTCCCCTATGTTTCATTACCAGGTAATTCTTTTACTTATTCTCTCCTGGGGAAACCAGTGTGACTCAAAGACCCGGTCCCCAAGAGAAATTAATAATGGGCTGGTGTTGGCTGTCTCGGCAGTATCGGTAGGTCATTTTCTTCAGCAGCTAATTTGTTTCTTTCCCATTAGGAAGACCCTTAAACATAGCTTTGACATTTGGATAATTATTCATAGAAACAGATCAAGCTCTCTGAATTTTTCTTCCTAAAGATGCAGATCTTGTGATTGAACGGGCAGGTAGGAGAGATGCTTTTATATGACAACACACCTAATCATGGCTGCTTTCTTCTCTCTACCCTCTCCAACTTCCTTCTAATTTCTGCTCGTTTGTAAAATATTTGCCAGGAATTTTCTTCTTTCTGAAATATTTGTCCCTTCATTCTTCACTCTCTCTCTCCTATTCCCAAATTTCAACTTTTCAATCCTGTTAAGCCTTGAGAATTAATTCTGCAACCCACACTGAATTTTTAATTCAACTCCTCAGTGTGAAGATGTTTCATGTGTTTCTGACCTCTGTGCTCTCTAACTCATTTTAAACTTCATTTTCCATTGTACAAAGCAGATGTTTGGTGTCAGATATTTCCACTCTATTTGAAAACCAGATTCTACTTTAAACCCAAGGAAGAGACAAGACTTGACCACCTGGATCAAGTGTGGCTTCCTAACATTAGGTATTACTTTCTTACACGTTGGTGGGTTTCAAAAAGGCCTCCTTTGTGAAACTATGTTCAGATTCAAAAGTAATCTGTTTTCATGCCAATGAATGCTACGGAGGAGCTGGTGGCTATAAATTCTGAAATGGAACTGTTTAACAACTGGCTAGCCTGTGTGAAGAAACAAGAAACAAGATTAAAAAGGGCAATTGCCAGGAAAAAAGAAAGAAAGAAAATGTTTCAGGAAAACCAATTTTATTTTGGAAGAAATACTTCAGGGAATAAGAGGGCTTTTCCAATTAAGTTAGAGCAATCCTATCAAAGTAAAAAGAATTCTAGCTTTTCTTATGACTTTCCATATTCAATCAGTGTACAGTATTATTGAGGAAGACCACTAGACTAGAAATTCGGGGTCAGACATTTGGCTCTGGCTTTGTGAATATATTGTAGTGAACACACTGGCTAGACATTTAAACTCCCTTGATTGTTTCTCTCACTATAGAAATAAGTGGTTAGATGGGTTTATCTCAATGTTCTTTCCACTTCTGTACAAATCTATAATTCTAATACTCCTTTATTTGGTTTAAAATAAGTGTCTGTGTTACCTGTTGGAAGATGTACCTTCCCAGGCTCCAAGTAACTGACATATTTTAAATCTCCAATAGGGGAACCCAATAAAGAAAACAGCAAACTCTACTGGGGACTTGGCTTCTGCAGAACTCCTGGGAGGTCTTCAATGTTTCCTAAGAAACCAGAGGAATCAAATACATAACATATTTTGCAAACAAGCTTTCTCAGATTGTCAGGATTTCTTCAACAATGATACACTCTAGTTCAAGATACTTGTAGCAGAAAATGTGGGAGCTCTAGTTACACCAGGAGGTATACACTTCCTGGTATTATTAAATGGAAATTCCCTTTATATTTGTGGGGGCTACTATTTTGTTTCTGATATGAACGATTTAGTACTTATCATTAGGAAACTCATTCATCAAATATTCTTCAGTGTTTTCTATGTGCTAGGTGCTGATTTAAGCAGGTAACACTCATTGAATAAGGCAGAAATTGTCCCTGCCCATGTCATGAGCTTTACATTTATGAAAAGCTTTCACAATTGTACCAGCTGAACCACACAAGTGATCTCCAACTACACAATCCTCCCAATCACATTTCACTACATTATCTATTCACTCATGTTTGAACACAACTTTTCTTCATATTAGTACTTTTTTCCTGTATGTTTTATTATTATTTCTACACTTTTAGAATTGGAATCAACTTGACGACAGTAGATTTTTTAAGTTAGTCAAAACATAAGAAAAGTGGTGTATGAAAATCCAAGTAAAGTCCACACTCTCCAGTGCTGATAACGCATCAAAGTGTATTGAGTAAACCACAGCAGGTAATCTAAGCAAGATGCAAAAAGTTCCACTACTTCCACTTTTTATCATTATTTTACCCTCCTTGTTTCTCTCTTTAGGTTTCTTTCTTGTTCCTTCTCCTGTTCCTCCTTTTATCCTCCTGCTTTCCTCCCATTCTAATTTCATTTCTCTTCCTTTAGGTCTTCTGTCCTGCCTGTTGCTTAGACACACTACTTATTCTGACATTACTCCACCATATTGATTATACTCACTGTTCCATATTGTGGATTATGATTTTGTCATTTTAGAATGATTAAAGTTTGTAAATGAAATACTTGTTATAAATAAATTTATTGAGCCTTTAGACTAGTATGTTCATATAGCGTGGGATCTCCCTATTCAAAAAAACTTAGTTATCACTTACACTCCAAGACAAACACCACTTAGCAGTACTAACACAACAGTAATAAGAATTTCCAAATCTAACAAAGTAATTCAGAGACATTAATTGCTTAATCATTACTTTTTTAAGATGAAACATGTTATAAGAGTCTTGAAGTGCTTAGTTTTTATGTTTCATCTTAGTTTGATAAGATTAATAGTTGCTCTTAAGCAGTCAACATATTTTTCAGTTTCAAGTTTTTTGCTCCAAAGACCCTGAATTGAATGGTGATCTGAGGAGGTCATCAAACACCTTCTGCTCAGCAGAGTAGAGGACACTGCCATGAAACTTTCTAGGGATGAGCCTATTAACTCTATATTGTTTCTCTTCCCAGATCTAATTCCTCTCCCAAAATCTGTTGTCTTTATGCCCCTGTGGCCAGGATGATTTAAATATGGATGAGAAGTTGAGTAATAGGAATACGAATAAATTGAAAATGTTAAAAATAGTATAAAGAAGAAGAAGAAGTGTGTAATTCACTGAAAAAATGCTAGAAAGAATATTTAGGAGAACATCTAGGTTGAAGAAGGTAGGAAACAATGCAAGAACCGATTAGGAAGCAACAAAAATAATTGCTTGTTAGAGAAATAGGAAAGGAACCAAGCCTTTTTTTGTCTCCATCTAATATTCTTTCTATATTATTACTACCTCTCATCATGTTGCACTTTACTTTTCCTCTATTTCTTTCATTATTTATTCTATTTCTCTTAACATTTCCCACAGCAACATCACTAACCTTGCTCAATTTTAACTGAATGAGATTTCTAGAACATCTATTGTCCTTGTATTTGTTTCATAATTACCAGAATTCATTCACAGTGGCCAACTGTGGTCAAAGTGAAGCAGGGAAGATGCCTTGTCAGTTGGATGAAATGTTCCCAAGAAGTTTCAATTTCATGTTTTTATATTAAAAAAAAATTAATTTTAAATAAAAATTTAATTTTAAATAAAAAAATTTAATTTTTTATATAGTCCTGAAATTTAATCAGGACTCTTCTTATTTTTGCTATATTCTTCCCTTGGTAATCTCACCTATGAATCCATTCATGGAAGTTTATGAAAACAGTTTATTCAATGAGGGAAATAATTAGGTTTTTATTTCCTCAGTTTGTTTATATTCTAATAATTATGAATCAATCCTAGTTTTTAAATGTTTTCTAAATCATACATTCCTTCAACTCTCCATGCAATTTGATATTTTTATTTTAAAAAAGCTAAAAATTTATGAAAATAATGTATTTAAACCCACCCAAACCCAACCTACTGCCATTGAGTCGATTCCAACTCACGGCGACCCACAGGGTTTCCAAGTTTGTCAATCTTTGTGGCAGTAGACTCTCTATGCCATTTCAAATTCAGCTATGATCCATGTGTTGTTTTGGGATAGACTGGAAACAGCCCTTATAGATGTCTTAATTGCTATTATGCATTACTATTCTCACTTCTAATTTTCACTTCTTAATTTTTTCTTCACTATGTCTTTAAAACATTGTATATTTTTCATTTAAAAAAAAATACTTTATCTGTTTGAATAAAGTCTACCAAATTTCTAGGCTGTTGTTTATTTTTCCATTTAATCTTTATTCTTTTCCCTCATCTGAATTGCTTGAGTTTATTTTGTGCATACTTTTCTAGTTTCTTAAATTGCTTGATTAATTTAAATCATTTAAAGTAATAGACTGCCCCTGACCCACCAGCCACTCCTTGGAAGGAAGATTGGGCAATGTACTCCCGTAGAGATACTGCCTGGAAAACCCAAAGAGGGGTTGCTTTGAGTCAAATTCACCTCGAAGGCAGTGAATTTGGTTTTGGTTTGGTTTGAGTGCTGCTTTGGCCATAGTACACTAATCTTTTAGACCCTGGGTTTCTATTATTTTGTAAATAATCCAATATCAATTAAGATAAAAACTTTATGCACTACTTTTAAATGATAAACATTTAAAATTATTTTCAGTGTTTCTAAGTTAATTTCTTCCTTCTTTTTCTTCAGATCTTTTCAGAATCTTCCCTTCTTTGTAACCCAATGGACAAAGTAAATGACACTCTGGTAACTGAGTTTGTATTGCTGGGACTTGCACAATCCTTGGAAATGGAGATTTTCCTTTTTCTCTTCTTTTCTTTATTCTATGTGGGAATTATCCTGGGAAACCTCTTCATTGTGTTGACAGTGATTTTCAGTCCTCACCTACACTCCCCCATGTATATTCTGTTGGCCAACCTATCACTCATTGACCTGGGCCTTTCATCTACCACAGTTCCTAGGACGATTTCTGATCTTTTCGGTGACTGTAAAGTCATTTCCTTCCACAAATGTATGATCCAAATGTTCTTTATCCATGTCATGGGAGGAGTTGAGATGGTGCTTCTCATAGCAATGGCATATGACAGATACACAGCAATTTGCAATCCTCTCCACTATCTAACTATTATGAATCCCAAAATGTGCACAATTTTGATTGTGGCTGCTTGGGTTGTTGGGGTGATTCATGCTGTGTCTCAGTTTGTTTTTGTCATAAAACTACCCTTCTGTGGCCCTAATCACATAGAGAGTTTTTACTGTGATTTTCCTAGGGTTATTAAACTTGCATGCATGGATACTTACCAACTAGAATTTGTGGTCACTGCCAACAGTGGCTTCATATCAATGGCCACCTTCTTTTTCTTAATTGTATCATACATCTTTATTCTGGTCACTGTTCGACAACATTCTTCAAATGACTTATCCAAAGCATTCTTCACTTTGTCTGCTCACATCACTGTAGTGGTTTTGTTTTTTGCTCCTTGTATGTTTCTCTATGTGTGGCCTTTCCCTACCAAGTCAATGGATAAATTTTTTGCCATTGTGGATTTTGTTGTCACCCCTGTCTTAAATCCTGCCATTTATACTTTAAGGAACAGAGATATGAAGATGGCAATGAGAAAGCTGAGTCGACAGGTTGTAAGTTTTAGGGAGATGACATAATGGATTTTGTTGTTAAGAGCACAAGATGAAGTCCTTAAACCATAAAGACCAATGTGCTCACTATAAATGTTAGGGAATGTTTAAATTTCATTACTACCTTTAAAGATCTAAGAAGTCTACAGAAAAGGAAACAAACTCTAAGAATTTTATTTTCACATGGAGTTGTAACAACTTTTGTTAATCATAAAAAAATAAAGTGTTATATAGTTCTATCTAACCTATAAACCTAAACTGTAGTTTACTAGCAATAATTACATTCAATTTTCATATGGATATATATGTGTGTGTATGTGTGTGTGTATAGACACTCATACATATGTATATATGACTTAGCTCTACCTTTATTTTTATCTGGAAACAGGTAAGTATTCCTTATGTAATTTATGTAGATCCAATGGATAAAATATGGGTTTATATAAACCAGCAAACATTAAAATTAAAGAAGAAACGATTCTCATTCTAAGCATCCTTTATTAAACAAATGGGGAGCTCAACACTATGTTACAAGTCTTAAGCATTTTTTCAGTCTTTGATCTGTCAATGTATTTTGTACAATGTTTTTGTAGAGACAGGCTCTAGTACTTTGCAATATTTGACTATGTTCCACATTTTCAACTACATAATTCTGTTGCCCTTGTAATCTTCTTCAAAACATTTCTTATAGTCTTTCTCAAAAATGGCTGATTCATTATAACATATCTTTATAATTCTAAAAGTACTTGAAGGATTTTTTCCTAGAGAAGGATAACCCATTTATATCTCAAAATCTTGCATGAAGAGCCTGTTCTTAAGCTCTGTAGATGAATGACATCTTTCAAGTTAATCCTGGAAATTCTTGTGTTAAGGAAGCACAATTTAAAGATCACATGGATATATTTCTATTATTAATGTAAAGAGCATTAATTGCAGTGACTCAGCTCAGTTTTAACTACTGCCCAATAAGAACAAAGATTTCCTTATTATTGGTCAAAGTTTTCTCCTTTATTATCTCCACAAGTTGGCATCAATGTTTTCAGCTGTTCCCTTCAGATACAATCTAAAACATTATTTATTGTCTTGATAATGTATCTGAATTTTATTTTACAACTTCACCTTATTTAATTGTTTTCATATGTTTCTTTAAAAATCACCTTTAGACTCAGATAAAAATATCTAATTGGAACAAGATATTAGGGCAATAGCCCACGAGTTTCTGTGGGTTTTCTCTAAGGGCCAAGGGAAAACTTGTGAGACTTTATAAGAGTCAGTCTCAGCACTGAAAGCTCAGGCTGCCTATTCCCAGATCTCTTCACCTGCCTTCGGTCACTTCCATAAAAGACTCTTAATTAATCAAATGGTCTATTAAGGAAGATGTTCATATACATTTTGTCTTGAATTTACTATGATTCAAAAGAAAGTGCAAATAACACCTAACTCATCTTTGCTCTGAAAATTGCTGTAATCTCTTCCAGTTATGAAGGAAGTAGGTGGAATGACGAAACTGAAATATATTAACAAAATTAACCAAATTGTAGCATTTTATTGATAATGAGAATCTTTTATTAGTTGGAATCCATTCTTCAGAATGCTATTGCATGTTCATTTTCTGGAAAAATGGAAGGACCCTATGAAATAGATGAAGGATCATTGTTCAAATACTTGGACAAGTTAGTATGAATAATATTAGCAAGGATGTTGTTGTTGTTATGTGCCGTCAAGTCGGACCCAACTCATAGTGAGCCCTCCTTGGGTTGCTGAGGCAGTATCACTATGGAAGTAAATTGCCCAACCTTCCTTCCGAGGAGTGGCTGGTGGGTTTGAACCGCCAGCCTTCTGGTTAGCAGTCAAGTGCCTTAGGCACTACACTACCAGAGCTCCTTTAGCAAGGATAGCCCTTGTTATAAGTGTTACACTTGCAATAATTGCTGGATCTTTCTCCTGAATCTCCCATAGTAATCCATTTGTTCCTTTCCATTAGGGAATCTTTTCATCCATCTTCCCCTAAATCACGGTTCTATTTCTCACTTCTTTCTCTCTTTATCTAAACTTAATAAATCCTCATCTGGAACATTTTTATCACTTAAAGGTGGAAATTATAGTATTAGAGATTCAGGGATTTGGAAATATTTTTACCTAATGAATTCATGGAACACTGAATTTAGTGGTCATGGAATTTAGTGTTCACGGAACACTAAAGCCCAGGAATTTTGAATGACATGCTCAAAATGACACATTGAATTTTTGCTGACTTCCACATCAGTGGAAAAAATAAATAAATAAATACTGCCACCACATCAGTTCTGACTCATAGCAACCCCACAGAACATAGTAGAACTTCCACTAAAGGGGTTCCATAGCCATAAAACATTATGGAAACCAATTGCCTCATCTTTCTCCTGCAGTGGCTGATGGGTTCAAATCACCAACATTTTGGGTAGCAGCTGAATGGTTTTACCACTGCACAACCAGAACTCCCCATCTCACCAAGACCTATACAAATTTAAGCTCTTTTTTTCTTTGAAGGAGGGTAAAAACATATTTAAGACAAACATAGCATTCTATTGGTTGGATTTCAAGCATGGAGAAGGATTTTCTTGTCCATTTGTGGCTTGCTTTTCATGGCTACTACAATCAGTGAACAATGTTCTGAAGAACTCCTTTAGAGTTTAACTTCAACTTAATGTCTAACTTAGAATCAGTAAAAGTCTTTTTAAAATATTTGAGTCATTAGTTGAGAAGTAGAGATGAGCCCTGAAAGGATCGTGGTGATGTAGACTCCCCTGTAAGCCAGGATCCCAGGTCCTTAATCTCCCCTCAGCAGTAAATAATCAGGAGACAAGCATTCTTAAGTAAGTAACAAAAAAAAAAAAAAAATCTTTTGCTAAGAATTGTTGTTGTTGTTATGTGCCGTCGAGTCAGCCCCGACTCATAGCGACCCCTCCTTGGGTTTCCG